ACAATGAGACCCAGTCTCCAGATTCTCTGTCCTGTGCCCACCTCACCCCAGCAGAGCCCTCCTGGGGTGGGGCAAGGAAGCTGGAGTCTCTGAAGCCCAGGTCCCACAGCTGCCAAACCTAAAACTTTGTGCGGTTGCAGAGTTTGAACTTTAAATTGGGCAGGGACTACAAGGTCCCTGAGAGCAGGGAGCAAGAGGGATGTCTATGCAGCAGGGGAGCAGGAGGCTGGTCCTCAGGACCCATGGGCCCTGGCCTATCTCAACACAGTACATTTGCTGGAAATGAACTCAGCACTTGCAAGCCTCAGCTCAGCTCACTTGGCTCCAGCTCCTACGTTTTCTCAGGCCACTGACCAGTAGGTGAGAGGTAAGAATTCACTTAGCACATTGATTATTCTCATAAAATCTTTTAAAAATATTTTCTTGGGAAAGGAGGCACAGTATCATCTCCCACTTTACACGCTCTATCTCACTGGATCCTCAAAATAACACCACAGGGAAATACTGTTATCTCCACATTATAGGAAAGGAAGCTGATGCTAAGAAAATTGTTAGCAAAAAGCAGGGCTGAAACTCGGACCCTGGTCAGCCTTACTCCAAAGTCCACCCTTAGCTCTTCTGCCAAACAGCCAAGAAGCAGAGAAGCAGAGATCCCAGATCTAAGCATTTCAGGGAAATGGTCACTGAAGCTTTCTTCCTGTTATCCCCCTTTCCTTTCTTTTAAAGTGATTTATAAAGCCTAAAATATGTATTAAATGGCTAAAGTTAGATTTATCAGTCAATGAAACTGACATGTATATCTTGCTAAGTAACCCTGGACCTATCAAACCTCAGGTTGGAATTTGCCAGAAAGATTTGAGGAAGTATTTCAGATGTTACAGAGTACGAGAGGTCACCTAAACTAATGGCTCCATTTCTCAGAAGGAACTTGACCAAGGCCACATGGCAAAACAAGAACAACAGCCGACAGTCAAACCTGGATCCTCTCCCTCCCTATCCAGGGCTCATTCCAGCCTTCACTCTACCTCTCAGGAGGTGTACAAGTGAGGAGTCAAACTAGACAATTTTTCAGAGACACTTAAATGTCCTATCATTCTGTGACTCTGGTTTCCCAGGACGTGTCAGCATGTGACATTGACAGATAGGTGCTAAAGCAGCATTCTGAGTGCAGGTGTATTGGGAAATGCCATTGCGCCCAAATGCAGAGGTGCTGCTCAGCAATATTTCTGGTTCTCCCTCTTCTGAGCATGTGGTAGGATTCCATAGAGCCAGCGTGCTATGGGCTAATGTGACATATATCACTTCTGGGTCAGACCATTTAACTTCTGGTGCAAGATGCTCCAGTGTGTCCTTCCCCAGTCATAACTGGTGATGTCCCAGATGGGAGCGCTTCTATCTGCCAGGATCTCCGAGGACAGTCCCCTGAAAACCCATAATAGACACATAGCATGAGAAAGAAATAAACCTTCATCATGTTAAGCCACTAAAATTATGAGGTTGTGTGTTACTGCAGCATAACCTCACCCATCCTGACTGATCCACCAAGGGACCAGCAGCTGCTCTGATATCCCATACTGTGCCCATGCTGTAGCTTGGGTTAGCTCTGATTTCCATGAACGTGTTATGATTAGACTCTTAAGTTTTGAGGAAACCCACCATGCTTCTGACATAGCTCTTCAGAGAGAGCAGCTATCACTGCAGGTGGGAGACTGCCACCACCAAAGCTCTCCTAGAAATCACAATGGCTGCACCATTCTGTTAGGGTATATGTATTGGAGGGGGAGAAGGCCATCATTTTCAAGGTAAAACATTGGAATCAGGATTTTTGGCAGAAGAACAGCACCAGATCTATTCCAGGCATGGCAATCACTGATAGTTCCTGGGTGTGGCTTCCCAGTCCATAAGGAATCAGACATAGCCCTTCCATTGCAATAGCTCACAGTACAGTCAAAGACATACAATAAACCAACCACAATGCAAGGCAGAATACAATCAGCCTGCTGAAATCACTGTGCGCCTCTCCTGTTGTGAGGATGGCAAGTTCCATGAGGCATCTGAGAAGACTGCACAGAGAAGGTGGTATATGAGCAGAGTCTTGAAGGGTGAGTGGAAGAGAAAGGCCACTCCAGCTGGAGGAAACTGCCCAAGAGGAAGGACAAAACTGGAGTGTGTGACCTTTGTCTGAACAATGTGGGATGGGCTGGAGAGGCTCAGGTGGGAGCAGGTGGGAGTCAGGACGACAGCCAGAGCCCATGCGCAGAAACCCCTTAAATGCCTCCACTGCCCACTTGGTCTCTTTATGAGAGGCACAGGTGACAAAAAGAACTGCAGAGCTGGTGATTTCCAGCCTTCACCACTTATAAACACCCCACACCTGTGTCTAGTGCCAGAATTTGAGATGAGCATAGGTCTTTTTGTAATAATACACCCAGCAAAGACAAAACCCTTATAGATCTGCCCAGATTTCAAGTTTTACATTGTCTTTACATCCCACATTCAGATAGAATCTCAGAGGTCTAAAGCCCAGAGAGGGGAAGGGATGTGTCTAAGGTAAGGAGTTAATGAATGATTGTAGATGCCACGAAGATGGGAGCCACATCTCTGCTATATTCCCAGTGCCTAGCACATGGTAGGTGCTCACTAACTACTTATTGAATGTCAAGTGAATGAATGAGCCATCACACTTGGATAATTCTTTTTT